TTAAGCGTGAAGGACAACTACTATCATTTGATGTTCACAGCAGAAAATATTTGTGACTGCATGATCAGAAAAGGAAGTAGCAATGATAATCCTGTTAAGAGGTAAGATATTAAGTTTACCTTAATACTGTGCGATCAGAATTTGGATTTCAACTATGCCACAGAGAGAATGCCTACAAGACAAAATATATATATGCTCATCTTAGCTATTTCTGGTTACTGGATTCTGATGATTCCTGTGACATCAGGTTTTAAAAAGGATACATTGATATCCATCTAGAACTGATGAGTAGAACATATACTTCTCAAGAGGAGGAGCCAGTCTTGTGGCTATGACAGAGTGCTACAGCCCTGGGGGAGTTCTCCAAATCCAGAGACTGAAAGAAGTTAGATGATCAGCCAAGGATGTGCAAGTTCAGGAACAGGAATAAAGTATGTCTTGCTTTGGTGTCAAATCTGCCGAAAATATTAAAAATGATATTAAAAAAGCTGTAACTCCTCTCTCATGTGTACCATCCATTCTTGAAGTATTTGTAAATTGTAGGTATTCAGTTGCTCTGAATTCTCTTTTTTTTAGTGGTGGAAAATTTTGTGGCTTTTGTCTGGAAAATATCTTTTTTCTTATGCCAGTTTCAGATTTTGCTGCCACTTGGTAGAACAATTGCAGATAAGCCCTAAAACAGTGACTAAACATAAGAAGAAATCCTACTTCCTTTAAAGGAACAGAGGAGTAAAAAGATTAATCTCTCCCACCCTTACACCAGGGAACTTTTCAGACACCTTTGATTTTGGGAAACAAAAATACTTTGCGCAGTTTGATTAGCAAAACGCAGCTCACAACCAAACAGAAATCAAATCCAAAACCAAACAAAAAAGCCCAGATAGTGGTAAAAACATGACTGTGCTGCAGCAGTAAACCTTTTTAAATGAACCCTCACTGGCAATTCTAATGCAGTGAATTCATCTCTTAATGCTGGCTATGCTTTCAGGACTAAGTAGAGTAAGCAAGGACTGTAGCCTGCAGGGGCTGCTGTCATGCAAGAATAATTATACCAGGATGGAACAAACAATCAAATTCTAAGGACAGATGTTTGGTTTTGTTTTATGTTGAGGGCTAAGTTTATGTTACACATTAACAGAAACAGTATCTTTTTGTGGAAGTCATGGGATAGTTTCCAGAACTGAATAAGAACTGAGGCATATACTTATCAACATGTTGGGATCTCCTATCTGAGAGGATGTCCTGTTTACATTTTGTGCTCTAGCTAAGTAATTATGCTGCAGGAGTGCTCCAGAAATGAGGTGAAATATAAGAGGAGAAGATGGCTTGAAATGGATTTTCACACAAGATTGAAAAATGACACTTGCATGACCCCTGTCATCAAACCATTTGGGATTAGTCCTACAAAGGTATATATTTAACAAGAATAGGCACACAGAAGGGAGAGGCCTTGGTATCCATGGATTTTTATTTATTTATTTTTTTTTCCCCCATGATTTAAAACCTTTTTCATCTTTACAAAAAAAGAAAGAAAAAAAAAAGAAAAAAAAAAGAAAAAAAAAAGAAAAAAAAAAGAAAAAAAAAAAGAAAAAAAAAGAAAAAAAAAAAAAGTAAAAAAAGTAGGGTGTGGCTGATAATGTGGCTAGCAGCCAGTCTTATTTTATCAAATGACCTGTGTAGGTAACCGAACACTGGTGAATTTAATACTAGCATAAAGCCACATCAAGGTATAATGTAGCTAATAAAACAAGGGGGCAGATTTCATTTACATCAGCTGTTTGTGACATAAAGACTTTTTAAAACAGAATGGTAACATATTACACAGGGTTTACATTAAACAATATGAAAGGGAGTAGAAAATCTTACTGTTTTAAGGTTGGAATTAATTTTTGTATGGAGGTGGCAATTATTTTTTTGGTGGATGGCAGAAACAGCTTATAATCAAAAGAGGGAACCAAAGTGGTAAATTTAGAGATTTGTTTGAAGTGATTCTAGTATTAGCATAAATCTAAAGTGTGGCTTTTACAAAGCAAATGCTGTAGTATCTTATGTTTTCTGTTGCTGAGGTATTAAGAGTTTTATAACAAGATATGGTTGAGGCTCTATGATGTCTCTTGAAGTTCACAAACCTTCATTCTCTTGTTAAATTGCTTTCTAACCAGTCGCAAAACTGGCACACGAATCCAAGGAAGGCTAGAAAGAAACCATGTTGATTTAACACACATTGTTCATTTAAATATTTGTCTGTATTACCAGAATATGTAGGAATTGCTCCTGTGTTCAAGTCCAATTAAATTGCTAGCATTTTAGATAATACTTAACATAGAGAAAAGGTTTCCTTTTTCCCCCACTTCCCAAACTAAAATTTCAATTTTGAGCATAAGCAAAACATAGCAGGCTAATGGGAAAATTACCTAAAAAATTATAATAGTAAATATGGTATGTAATGCTTCTGCACACCCACAGCTTAACTGCTGTCAAGATTTGGTAGACTTCCAGGAAAAGGAAAAAATTAAGGCATGGTTTGATAAAGTGTTAATTTTTCAAATGTTTATGGGGATCTTTTCAACCCTGTTCAAGGGATACTGATGGGCACACTTCTGTTCTCACTGTGACCTTCTGAAGCTAACTAAAAGTAACAAATTTTCATCCCACCATCCGGGACTAGCTCCCTCTCTTTCTACATAGATAGAAACAAATCTCATAAGAATTTTTATGTTACGCATGTTATCCATTCTGCCATTTTTATTCATCTGGGTTTCCACTTACCCTGATGTTTCTCACATTCACTGTGATAGTATGCTATAAGTCCTTGTGTATAATTGCATGTAAAATAAAGACCACTGATGTGCAAATGTTTGAGCCCTGAATAGTCAAAAAAATTTTTCCTTGGAACTAGGCCTAAGGAAAAGGTAAGGGATCTTCTTAAAATAATAGGATCATTGTATCTATTATATACAGAGCCTTATTAATTTGACATTCACATTATATCTAATGAAAAAACTCAGAAATTTAGATCTGAGCTTTTTGTGGTGCCCATCATCCCTACTTCTGAGAAAATAATAGTTCAGTGTTTTTAATTTGAGGTCTTTCAGTGTCATCTCTGAAATATTGGAACTGGTGATACAATATAGTGCACTACGGAGCTCTCAAAGCACTTGATTCTATATTTACATCTCTGAACAAGCTCACTTTGACTCATAGCTCCTTAATTAGAGGCATAGTTGCTTTCTTTTCTGTAGGGCATTTATTTACCCTCACAATACAAGCATACATTTGGTAACTAATACTAGCAATTAGCCTCATCTGCTATGTAAATGAGTGTGATCGCAATTAAATACTTTAGAAGGCCCAAAGGGATAGCATGCTATCATTACAAAGTAAGTAGGAGCACTTGGTAAAGGGACTTCAGAAGCATTACCAGAAGTGCCTTTTTCCCAGTGGTGACTAAGGTCCTTTCATTGTTAGTTACTTCTTGGCTGTTTAGGACCTGGTTCAAAAAGTTTTTTTTTTTTTTTTTCATTGAGAAACATGAAAACCATGGAGCAAAGAATGACATGTCTGATAAAGAAAAGAAAAATTATCTCCAGGGTGTTCACAGGATTTTGTGTTGCACATCTGAGCGCCGCAAAACAGGATATCAGAAACAACACTGGGAAGTTCCTGGATTGGGTTCATTGTCAACGATCTGTTGAAATGAATGGCTATGACAGTTTTACATCAACTAAATGTTTGTGTCACTGAATATGTCTACATTATTTTCTGTCTTCCACAAGAGCTGTCACTAGCATACTTTCAGGCAGCCTGTCTGGGTGGTTTTTGGTGGTATGCTAAACACAGCACAGACATACCAGTACAGCTCAACTCACATAACTTGGGCTTGATGTCTGAACAAACTGCAGAAGTGATCTTGAGGGCATCTTCTTGAAAGCATATAGATGCAGATTAATCTCAGTGGTGTAAATATAACACAAATTTCTCATTTTAATGTTCTATCTACATAATTTTGCACCTGAGTTAATACATTTCCAGTACCAAATCTTTTTTATGAAAAGCAACTATCTATAATATCTTCCATTATTAATTGGACAAACCACTGAATCTAAGTTGCCTGAAATTTCTTAAAGAAATGAAAGAACTGGTTTCCATTTATTATTTGGAAAAGCCAGAAGAGATCTTAGGAAGCCTGGCTACAGCAGAAAATCATACAAATATCTCATTTCCCTGGCACAGATACAGCTTCCTTTAGTAAAGGGCATTATTGAGTCACTTATTCTTGCCTTAAGAAGCTTTTAAGGGTGCTTCGAAATATTTACTCTTACTCAGATGGACACTACAGCAAGGGACTTTCACAACGTCTAACTTTACCTCTGCACAATGTAATGCAGCTCATGGTAATTTCATTTAGAGTCTACCAGAAGAAAATACAAAAGGAAAGCCTTAAGCATAAACAACTCCTCCAAAGTCCCACAAACTGTGCAGGCTACCAAAGTAATGCCTCCCATTTATTTCCATGGAAACTACAAGGAATTGTTCCTTATTACCCCCAAAACATCCTACATTCTGCATAAGAAATTTTTGCTGATTTATAGCTTTTAAGGTGAACACATGGATTAAAGATAGACTTTCAAGAATTAATGAGACACTATTTTATGAACCCCTGCATTTGTGGGGATAGAGCGTAGAATGTGGTTATGCAGCAACATCTTTTTTAAGAATTGACTTTTTGTAGGACTCAGAATTCAAAAGTAATTAAACAAAGGTTTGGGTTCATCTTGTTGCTCAGATGAGTAGCATTAGCAACTGTTTTGTACTGCAGAGATTTTTGAATTTAAGATCTTCCTCTATTTAATCTTACGCTAATTGTTGACACAACACATCCTTGGAATTAAACTTTTTCCAAAAAAAAAAAAAAAAAAAGCGTTTGAACAACAAAATTCAGTGTTATCGGGTTGGGACTGTGGAATATTATTTGAAGGAATTGGAATCTAAGCCACAACACAGACCACCAGTTTTAGAAAAGGATTGGAGCAGAAACGTCAACCACAAGCCTTGCGATGTCTGTTCTGTGTGAACTTGTATTCACCTTAGCCCTGCAGAGCTTTTTCCAGCCAGCTGCAATACTCAGCCTGTTTGTAACCTCCTTCTAAGTGGAATTGTTTCAGTCTTTCCCCTGCTGAAAGCAAAACATAAACATGAGATACATTAAAATGGAAACAGGATCCTGATCCTTTCTGTTTCTCAGTTTTATTTAGCAGAGACCTTTAACCCTCATTAAGATACTTTGGAAAGTTTGGGACTTTTTTTTTTTTTTTTTTTTTTTTTTTTTTGCATAGCTCACTGTGGGAATATTTAGGTTTGTTATTTTGTTGTTCTCTTTTAAAATATCTAAATGCCTTTGGGTAGTTACATGAAAAGTTAAAAAATAATTTACAAAATTTTATTTAGAAAAATAAAAGGGTATAGAGTAAATTTCATGAAATATGCGCAGACTTTCATAGTGATTGCATAGAAATAGAGTAAACATAGCCTCCCAGATTTTGCTCAAGAGAGCTGGCAAAGAACTCCAAATCTTTGTCCAGGGCAAAACATAGAATACCATATGCAGAAAAAGTTTTCACTTACATTAAAAATAAGTCATGCTTCCTCTGATTTAAATGTGCATATGAGGAGCTATACTGAAATATATGTGACTTGCGCTCCTGGAAAAAAATGAAAAATGCCACTTATGTTCAAAGACCAAGGGTTTCCATAGCGTTGCTTGTATTGGTGCTCTTCTGTTTTTGTACATCAGAATCAGCAAAAGAATACATGTTAGCGACTGATTTGCAGAAAGTGCATTTCTGATTCCATTTATTAAATGAACTCATCATTTCTCTTTGACTTGAATGGAATGCCTTCTCAAGGGGTTAAAATCTCTCCATGATATTTCTTCTTATAAAATATCTTGAAAATTTGCTTCTGTGTTTGCCAGTCACTGGAATTTTGAATTATCACTCTATAATCCTGCTAAAAATCTCATTTTGAAGAAAGCCTTTTTAGTCCATGTTTTCTGAACAGTAATTGTATTCAAATCATCTCTCTAAAGTTTTAATTTTTTTTTTCCAGTTATTTTCCTTTGTCCTTTATCCTGTCCCTTTATAATGAAGAAGTGAACAAAAGTAGTAATATAAAAAACATTGGTTAAAAAATATGAATGAAAAAAGAATTAAAAACATCTTTGAGCTTTCATTCACATAACAGATAGAGGAATTGTTCTGCATTTCATTCCAGTACAAGCTTTTAGCTGGAGTCATTTATATTAATCTGAAATGCTTTACTTTTCTAATTTCTGAAACTATAAGATAGTTTCCATGGACATGATTTCGTCACATGGAGTTTTGTAATATATATTTGAGGTGATGAAAATCCACTGTCTTTGCTGATTTATTTGAATAGCTATTTTATTATTAGAAATGTGCTTCCCATTTCCTACTTCGCTTTCAGTATGCATTTATTATTTCTTATATTTCTCCTATATTTGCCTTAAATTAAGGCAAAACATGCTTTGTCATATTTTGAGAACCAAACTGTTGATTGGAGCTTTTGGTCTGATTTATTTCTCCATTTATTTTGTGAAGATAAACTATTAACATGCATTCAGCTATTCTGATCACAGTGAAATTGGCAGTCAGTTTGACACTGTAGGCCTAAATTTTCAGAATTAAACACTTGATGTTAAGTAGCTTCTGAAACTGATGTTCATTGGTCACAGTTTCATTTTTTTCACTAATGAGCTACAGTCTTCCACATTAAGTACAGATCATCATAGTCCATAAATTTTATATCCATTAATGGTAGCATTTTCACTTTTAATCTCTTATGATATTTGATGGCAAAGATATAATTCTTTGCCAATGATTTTATAGGTTAAATCTATTTCAGAATGGAAAAATCAAAACTCTGCAATACTACACTTTAAAAAAAGTGACCTTGTCAAATTGAAACATTCTTGCTTCAATTAAATCCAAAGTCAGCTAGTCCCAAAGGAAATACTGAGGTGTATAATGTTAGCAAGTACAAGAACACTTTCCAAAAGTAGTTAAAAAAAAAAACTCTTTCATGCTATGCTGTTTTTTAGAGAAAAAAAAAGGAAAAAGAATACTTTATATTCGTAGCCATTTATAAGGTCATTTTAGAGTGTACTCTTACATAAAACATGAGGTCAGTAAGTAAGGCTAATTAAATTTTAGTAGGAGCAAAAGTCACCAAAATGTTCTTACTTTCATCCTACCCAGTCTAAAAAAAGTGATACAGTACACCATTAATAGCCTTGGAATTTCTAATTATTTCAACATGAATAGCAGTACTAGTACTGTCAATTCAATCTAGTATTCTCCTGAGGATCCTTGGAAAAAAAATGCATGATCACTTTTATTATTTTGTAATTTTAGGAATAAACCAAAAATATGCAAACAATTCAAACATAAAAAGAGTAGTCTGATAGACAGTACCTCTATTAGTCTTTGCTGTTTTCTATGGAAGTTTTACATTAGAAAATTTAGTTCAACTCACTGAAAGTAATTTCAGAGGAATATATCTTCTTCAATTAAGTTTTATTGGAAAGAAGCCAGCATTTTTCATTTATATTATTATATCTGAAGCACTATTTTTCAACATTTTAATCCATCTTATTGTACTTATTATTGGACTACTTTTGTATTATTGAGGAAAAAAAATACTGTAATAAAATGTTTTAATGTTCCTGAACTAGATCTTACTTTCCATATGAATTTTAAAGTTTGGGAATTTTGACTTCGAAAAATCCTGGTATTCCCTTTGAATTTGGCAGGTTTTTTCCCCACCAGCATAATTCAGTATTGCACTACACTTTATAGGAACATCTAAAATTTTTTTAAAAATGTACCTTCTAGGCTTACTGATGGTACAGCACATATAAAACTTGTGAAATACTCTCTCATTCTATTAAATTAAAGGGTGCATTGGTACTTCTAAAGTCTAACTAGGCTAAAAAATTGAGCCTTTAGTCAATAAGCCAACTGTGCTTCTGAACAAATAGCATTCTGCTCATTATACGAACACATCACTTCCTTACTTAGAATAGTGTGTAATTTAGAATTTTGTCAATTCTGTTTTTGATATTTGTAGTTACCTGTGGCTTTAAGAGTACAGCAAAGTATTATTTTGACACTCAAGATCTAAAAAACTGATGACTTAGAGGTTATATTGTCACAGAGATACAATAGAATTTTATTAAGTATATTTGAAAAAAAAGAAATTATCATTTCTCACAAACGTGGTGTCCAATTAATGCTTATTTGTCTTAGTTTATTAGATTTTGCTTCATGAATTGATACTGAGCTTCAGCATTTTTTCTTGGTAGGTTATAAAAAGAGACCTTATTTCTCTTTTCTGCAAAAGAAAAAAAAAACAAAACAAACAATTGATTTCAATACAGGTTCTTTTTCCCTGCACTACAAATCAGATCATGGAATTGCATATTGGTTTGAATTGGAGAGTTCCCTCTATTCCAATCCCTCTATCATGGGCAGTGACATTTTTCAGTGGATAAAGTTACTTAAAAACCCATCCATCCTGACTTAGAACACACTTCCAGTGATGGAACATCCACAATTTCTCTCAGCAACTTGTTCAGGCCGTCATTCCCAAATCGTGGAATTTTTTTTTCTATATGTCCAATCTAAATCTATTCTCTTTCATTCTAGGATAAGCATAATGATGAATCTCACTAAAGAATTTATTTGTCAGCGTTTGATGCTTATACAAAATAAGTTTAAAGCACCTTTACTTTATCCACCCTACAAGATCCTATTTAGTTTAGAGAAGGTACATCATTTTGATGCGTTGATACGTAAATAGTTATGGAAGATAGTTTTTTGTGAATTCAGTAAAATTTTAAAAATTGGCAAATCACATACTGAAAACATTAACACAAATTCTACATCCAAGAAAGATACAATTCAATTTAATTCAGTATGGGAAAAAAAGGTGCAATGAAGAATCAGCTATATATACACCCTGGGAAGATTTTTCCTAAAGATGAATTCAATCATTCTTTTTCCAACAGAACATTCACAATCAATCCACCCATGCAAACTTCATAAGGAATAGCAAGATGTCTGAAATATCCACATAAAGATAACTGCTTAATTCATTACCCTGAATTGATCTCAAATATCAAGATTTTTCAGATGGTGTATTTCCACTGTAGACACAAAGCATAATTAATCATAATGCATAACGAAGCATAATTAATTGATATTTTGAATTCCCAGAGAATCTGAGTACAAAGAAAAGAAAGTACATTCATTCTAATGCAACACCTGATCTGATCATTTTCCCTAATATTCTTCAGCTCACCTCTCATCATCCACCCACACCGTGAGATGCTTAGAAGTGTTGCCTGATACAGCAGTCCAGCACAGCAAAGAAAAAGGCTGTCACAGAACCATCTGGCCATTTCTTAAATTGCAACAGAAAACTATCACAATGAGAAAACTGCCTTCTTTCAGTAATCCAATGGACATCATAAACTAGTAATCATTACTGCTTAAAAACAGAGTATGGTTTCTGTTGCTGGAAGTTACCCTTTTAATTTCACAGTAAAGCAACATTAGTTTTTACTATTACTTCCTTGTATTTATTCATCTACTTATGAAAATTTATATGTTGCTAATCTAGGATATTTTCAGTACTCCATACCAAAACAAAGATATGTTACTTATATTTTACTGATATTATTATTTTCATCTTCAAATAAATTGCTACAGGCTTAAGTGAAATAGATATATTTATCTATAAATGTATATATTTTAAGAACTGCATATTTAATCATATTATATTGTGGAATTACTATGGAGATACTCTGGAGGTTAATCCAAACATTTATCACTTAACATTTTCTTTTTAACTACAGAATGAGTACTACCAACCTACTATATAAAATATTATCCAGAAAAAGATAGTGATAAACAGCCATTTGTTATTGAAGTCAGTCTTTTTTTTTTTTTCTTTAGTAATCTCGTGATTAGGCTATGAGTAGAGCAGAAACATGGGTTCTGCCATATTAACAGAATGGTTATTTGTCCTTCATGGTTTCTATTTTTCAAGCATTTTTAGTTGACTGAAATCCTATCGTGTCACAATTATATATATTTATACGTTATTCCCCTCTGTCCTTTGAGCGGAGACTGGAGTTTAGCATGCAGATGTGAATAATGAGAAAAACTTTATTATTTTACTTATTTATTTATTTAGTTTATTATTTGTTGGTCTTCTAGTGTGTTTGTTAGAGACTCTTTACATATTCAGATTTTCCTTCTGATAAAAATAGTAATTTACCATCAGGAACCAAAAAGGTCATTATTCTATAAAACTACTAATGCCATCAAAAGAGAAAACATAACTATTTGATCTTCATTTTTTTTATATGAAAATTGCAACTGCAGTTATTAAAATTGTATTTGAAGTATGCACTTAAGACTTAAGACTGTGACACATGAGTCTTAATGAGCTTTGTATGTTGTTTGACCAATTTCAGCTAATTTCTCATATGAGAATACTTCAGTCATAAAGAGCATGAAAATATCCCTCTCCGTAGCTATGGAGAAACCCGGTTACTACACAGGCATATCGAGGATCTGATCTGGTAGAACATTTTCATGATTACATGTTTTAATGA